AAAATTAGTGTCTGCTCAAAGCCTTATAAAATATATATTGCTTGAAGAGAGGCAGACAAGTCACAAATCTTACCACTGTCATTGGCATCCATGCTGGCAATCTCAGTAAAAGCTGACTTTCTGAATATCATGACTTTCTGAATATCATGAAAAACAAGGCGATGTCTCCAGGTCAGGACTTTGAGACAGATTGTTACTGAAATCTTGAAGCACTCTTGCATTTCCATTTGGAGCAGCTGGAGGAGAAAACAAACTTCTAAGATGGAACTTTATCAGTTCATTAAAAGAGTTTTATGATATGACTGCATGTGACATCAGAAAAGCAGATGTAGTGGCAACCACAAATAGTTCTGCAGTTATCCTGAGTGCTAGTCCTATTTTGTGGGTGAAACAAAGAAATAACAAGTTCATCAGGACTATTGAGGTAGGACCTTTTTCTAAGCTGAACTTCACAGTTATTTTTGCAGCAGCAATTCCTTTATTAATAGGGCAGAGAATGTGAAAAGGCAAATAATATTCATTCAGTTCAGTCAGTCAAATCCGCACTTCCATACAAGTTTTTATGCAAACTGCTAAGGGCTCTTTACTATCAAATAGAATAAAAGAAAGAAAAAAAAAAAAAACAACTTAAATGCCACGTTAAACAAATACTTCTTGCCAAAGACTCAAAATTGCATTAATAAGTACTAAGGAGTTCAGCAGATTTGGAACATAATGTTTTGAATAAGCCTTTGTCTCCAAATATACCTGTTAATATGGAGAAGAGATAATAAATTATCATAGCAGGATTGAAAAACACATGCCAGAATGTGACAAATGCAAAGGTTTTGCACTGTCCTTGCACAGAGGGAGTCCATCCGTTCTGTTTATTTCTTTTTTTTCTAGGTGTAGGGACAATTGCAGTGGCTAGGTTCAGTGGAGCAGGCACTAGCTGACTGCTAGTTTCTTGCAGTTTCTTCTCCTGAAGTCTGAAGAAAAGTCTTTGAAATACTTATAATTAAAGATACAATGGAAGGATAAAATCAAACCCATTTTTTAGAAGCTTGACCAGGCTCAATGCTTGTTCAGTGATACTCAGGGGAAGCAGAGAGAGACAACTGCTGCTTTGGTTTTAACAGTTTCATGCGGGTGAAGCTCCAAGGAAAGGTATAATTAAGCAAGTCACCCTGAGTCATTCAGCTGATTTTAGAAAACGTTTCTAATACCACAGTAATTGGTATATATTGAGTATGTATGTATTGCGTGCGTCCTCAGCAAGTCTGCCAGCATCAAGCTGCGTGGTATGGTCGACATGCTGGAGGGAAGGGATGCCATCCAGAGGAACCTTGACAAGCTTGAGAGGTGGGCCTATTCAGACCTCATGAAGTTCAAGAAGGCCAAGTACAAGGTCATGCACTTGGGTCAGGGTCAATACCAAACACAACTACAGGTTGGGGAGAAAATGCATTGGGAGCAGCCCTTGGGAGAACTTGCAGGTGTTTTTGATGTGAGCTGGCAGTGTGCCCAGAAAGCCAACCGCGTGCTGGGCTGCATCAAAAGGAGCATGACCAGCAGGTCGAGAGAGGGGGTTTTCCCTCTCTACTCTGCTCTTCTGAGACCCCACCTGGAGTAGTGTGTCCAGTTCTGGGGCCCCAGCACAAGATGGATGTCAACCTGTTGGAGCAAGTCCAGAGGAGGGCCATGGAGATGATCAGGGTGGAAGCACCTCTTCTATGGAGACAGGCTGGAGAGAGCTGGGCTTATTCAGCCTGAAGAAGAGAAGGCTCAGGGGAGACCTTAGAGTAGCATTCCAGTACCTGAAAGGGGTCCACAAAAAATGCTGAAGAGGGACTTTTTACAAGGGCATGTGGTGACATGACAACAGGTCAACTTTAAACTGAGAGAGGGTAGATTTGGATTAGGTATTAGAAAGAAGTTCTCTACTGTGAGGGTACTGAGGCACTGGCACAGGTCGCCCAGAGAAGCTGTGGCTGGCCCATCCCTGGCAGTGTTCAAGGACAGGTTGGATGGGGATTTGAACAACATGGTCTAGTGGAAGGTGCCCCTGCGCATGACAGGGGGTTGGAACTAGATGAGCTTTAAGGTCCCTTCCAACCCAAACCATTCTATAATTCTTTGGGAAAACTGCTTGCTGGAGAGACATGGATTTTCAATTGTCATTGAAGCTAAGAGTTTTCAAAATGCCTACAAGAAATGGTAGACTAAAACCACTTACTGAAACTGGAGCCCATGAATACTTCTTGGTACAAAAGCCAGTTCAGGTTAGGGTAAGATTTTTTCTTACTGTATTCTTAAATCCACGTTATGGACAAAGGTGAAGACTACCTAACAAGACCAGCACACACAGATGTGGCAGAAAGCTTAGCATGTATATAGGCAGGATACTTTGAAATATCTCCTGCTCAGGAAGGAGCAAGGCTTTGTGTTCTTAGGTTGAAGTAAATCTCCCACATGCACACTTTCTTCTTTTCTTTTTTTTTATATTAGAAATAAAAGGATAATAGAAGTTCTGTAAATGCAAAACTTCTTTTGCACAGAAGCAACACAAAATGGAGACAACATATGTGGTTTGAATTTCCAAACCAAACAGTTTAAAGATCGTCCTCAGAAGAAATATAATGTCTCAAGGGCAGTGTATATTTTGATTGCTTTGTTTTCTGAAAGTTCCAGTTAAGCTAAGGTATGTGATAAACTGAGAGAGAAGCGTTTAATGGTAAACCCACAGAAGTCAATGAAAGTTTTGTTGTTGACTGCACTAGAAGCAGATCTTGTGCATATACCATTGATGAATTGAACAAATGAACCCTAAAAAATCTGGCTGGCAGCTTAAAAGTCAAGCAAATAAAGGAATAAAGTCACATAAGCTGTTTTTGTGTATAAAAAGGCTGTGGGTTTCAGGATTATTTTTTTTTATAGTATATCTCTGTACCCTGAATAACCAAGTAAGCCTTAACTTGTGGAATCTTAATAGCCATCTCATTGCTGAAGTCTAAAGGAAACCCAGAGGAAACTTAATAATATTAAAAGTTATTTTAAAGGGAGTTCACATTGGTTTGAAGGATATTTTGCTTCGCACACAATATCCACCATTGTAAATTCAGAGAACATAGATTTAAATTCAGAAATCCTCCACACATCTTTACAACCCTCAGTATATAAATCTAACAGTATTCTTAAAACGTCCACCAGTAAGGTATTAATCTTTCACAGATAAAATTAAAATTCTGAAAGTCATTGGAACAAAAAATAAAGAAAAATAGTAAAAATATTCCCTCTAGAAATGACAGGAAACTTGGAACTTTGTGGTAAGAGGCTAGCTTGTTCATGTTGTGATGAATAGAGAATAGTCTGTACAGTTTTTCATATCTGATTTGCAACAGAAGATTGGAACATATAGAAATTAATGTTACTGAATTATTTAATAGTAATTCAAACACATGAATAGAAAAATTAAAGAAACACAAGACTAAAAAGGCATTTAAAATGAAATTAGAAGCTTCAACAAATGTATTTTTCCCTTGCAGTCAAAAAAGTAATTATCAAAATTGTTCAGAATATGTTGCCAATTACCCTGCTCCATAACTGCTAACTTTCTCGGTTCTTCTTTTGCCTTTGCTGGGCTCTCTGTCACTGGAAACATCTTAAACCAATTTAAAGTGGTACACCTGAATAAACATGTTGTAAAAGTGTTTATGTATTGAAGTGGGTCAGTTCAAGGTATGGTATTTGGCTGGAACTTCTAATTTCTCTTTTTACTGCAAAAGGGCTGCCAGAAGGAGGAAGTCTGAGCTGAATTAATACATTTGTTACAGTGGAAGTAGAATGGAAACTACTTTAACCACAAATCAAACTGCCTCTTTCATTTACGCCAGTGATAGAGTTTTTCTAAGAAATATAGACTCTGGCGTACAGCCACTGTAAGTTTGTATTTGAAAAGGAAACCTCTATGCTTATTTCTGTAAGGTTTACTCCTATGTGTATTTGCAAGTTCTTTTTCAGGGTGATCGAGTTAACGGTATTATACTTTTGTGAGGCAGATGCTCCTTCGTCACCCGCACAGCCAACTTTTCCAGTCAGTTTAGAAGAATCCCTAGGCGCCCCACTGCCGCGCAGCGCACACAGTGCCTGTGCCCATACCTTCCCATTTAAAGGACCTCTGTGTCCCCCATCCAGCACAGCTGCACAGCCTCACATGACACTGTCTCATTTTCTGACGGTTGAGGGGCTCTGCATAATACACGTACACACAAAAGTGTTTATGCTGCCAAAGTAAATTCTGTTAAGAGCAAGGGTTTATTTGCTAAAATGTCACTGATGCTGTTTCAGTGACTTGTTTTGCTTTCTTTTCTTTTAGTGAGGTTTAGATCCTATAATACAGTGAGGTTACCACACAGTCCTGACTGACCAAATATTTTAAAGAAATATGCACACCCTCTGGGAACAGAACCAGAGTCAATAATGCCCATATTTCAAACTCTGTTCTCTTGAATGACTGAGCGCCTTCCTACCCTTACTTGTGAATTAACATCAGTTTGAGTGGCACTGCACAATATTTATTTTTAAAGCAGAAGTATATTTATTATCTACACTTGTATTTGCTACCAATTTGCTCTGGGGATATAAGGTTCCACATTTCACATTCAAGAGATGCAAAAATTAAATTACCATATTACATTATCCTTTCTATAGGCTTTAGAGTTTAACAGGGCTCAGTTATTTTTCATTCCCATCAATGTGTACATGAGGCTGAACTAAAATCTCTGTGTAATAGTGCACGTTTTTATGCAATGAGAAACTACCTGTAAAGCTGCTGAAACTTTTGTAAATTGTTGATTTTTTTTAAGTTCCATTCGACAAAATGTGGTTAGGGTTCTTGATCATGTGAATTCAGAATTATGGACAAAATCCTTGCCATGTGTCAGTCAGCAGCTGAACTACCACTGTGGCTTCAGGAGGGGCAGAAACTCATCTTTTAACTTACAATTTCCATTACTTTATAGGTCGAAGTATCAACGTTAAATCTGCTGGCCTGATTGGAAGACACGGGCCTCAGTCAAAGCAGCCATTCATGGTTGCATTCTTCAAGGCAAGTGAAGTGCTTTTCCGTTCTGTTCGAGCAGCCAACAATAAAAGGAAAAATCAGAACCGCAACAAATCCAGTAGTCATCAGGAGTCTTCTAGGATGCCAAGTGTTGGGGGTAAGATGAAGCTATGTTTCTAGCCTCTTTATAGGAGTTACAGGCGCCAAATACAGTGGAGTCACAGCAGCTCAACAAGCTCAACACAGCAGCTCAACTGCTCCCTGGATGAACTGTCAGAAACTCCATTTCTATCTGCCCCTCTAGCTTTGTTTAAACCTTCTTGTGAGTAAGGTCACTTACATGTACCATGGGCTCCCGGAAGATGAAATGATTAAGTTGTTTTGGAGAGATTATCTGAGCTTGAAACTGGATGAAACCTTTGCTATGCATAACAGAAAAGTAGAGAGACTGTAGAGAGAAGGGCTGCACCCCAACTGCTTGTCTAGGAAGCCTCAGTGAAAGATAAAATTTGGACTCTTTTTTAACTGCATCTCTAGCTTCAGTATTGGGCTTAATTTTGTGTATATTGTACAGGTAGAAAAAAAAATATGCTATTTCCCTAGTTTCCACTGAGAACCTGGAGAATAGCTTTTTCTGAGCTAGGTGACTTAGGGATGCATGTGTTCCCTCTAAGGACACTAGTTTTTTAAAAACCCCTGATATTAAGGCACCAGGGATCTCTATAACTGTTTATTGTTTGGGGGTGTTTTAAGTATTGTAAAATTTTCTGTTATACTGTATGACTGTACACCTAAAGCGCATCTACACAATTAACGTCTAATCCCTTATGAGTCAATTTTGCAGGGGAGCAGTTACAAGTAATAATGAAAGAAGGCCAAAACTGGGCAGTCTTAGCTTTATTGTAGTAAAAAAAAAAAAAAAAAAAAGAAATTACATATCGATAATAGAAAGGCATTTTTAAGATGATTATTCATTATTTATAGAGCCATATTGCCTACACATTCTCTTTTCATTAACTGCCTAAAGTTCTTCAGATTTTTTTTAAACAATGCAAGTTAAAAATTGATTTAGCATCTTGCTTTTCAGATGTGGTTTAAGCATGTACATCAGTTAAATTTGCTAGCATGTGCTTTTTTCTAAATTCATTTACTTCAGTGCAAGAATTGAGTCTGCGTTTTGTCATTTTGTGTAATTCTAGTATGATCAGCTTTTTTTTTGCAGAAACTGTTCCTTCTGTTTTACTGGTACCATATGATGCACTTCCCCATTTTCATAAAAGGGCTTTGGACTGAATGATACAACATGAGCATTTTTCTGTGCTTTTTGGAGGGTTTTCCTTTTTTTGTTTGCTTGTTCCACCCACTTTTTTTTTTTTTTTTTAGTAAGTAAACCTTGATCTGTGCAACTGCATTAACTCCAAAATGCAGTATCTTATCTTAAGGGTAAGTAATAATCTCTCTGCAAAAAAAAAATTCCCCCCTCCCCCCCAACCCACAAAAAAACACAATACCTCCAACCCCCCCCCCCAAAAAAAAAAAAAAAAATCATGTTTCCTGAACAATGTCTACTAATTTTGAGACTCACATTGTTTTGGTGGAAGGGAAAATCATCTAAGTACATGGTACACACAACATAGCTGAATATAAATATCATACTTTCAGGTTGAATTCTATGTTTCTAGTCCATGAGGAAATGAGAACTGAATGGATTTTTTTAAGCCTCCTTGATTATAGCAGGAAAACTGAACGCAAGCTCCCTGATGGTTTAACCTGGGAAAAACTTAACCTTTACAAACACCAGCAAGTTGCATCATCATGAGCTGTCTGCATGTCTCAAAACACTGATCAGCCTCATCTGTGAATCCAGCCATGCTCCAGAGCCGCTGTAAAAGAAAATCAGTACATCTCTAGTGAAATGTACATCATGAGACGTATTTTCTCCTAACCTCTTCAAGCCTCTATCTGCATAAGCATAGAGGTACAACACTATATGTTGATGAATGCCATATCTCTGTCAAAAAAGACTGCAGTTCAAGAAAATTGTGGCGTACTGCAGGCTTGTGGGAGAAGACTAATTCTCCTAACTCTCTACAGCTTCCAGTAATAAGCAGTGCTTTAAAATTAATTTATCCATATTTAAACTACAGAAAAACCCAAAGAATTCTGCTCATCATCTTTCTCATGGCAGGCTGTCAATAGACTGTATTCAATACCCATTCACTCCTGATGCAAGACACTGTTGACATAAATGACACAGTAATGAGCAATTGTCATTGTATGACCTAGTTCTTTCTTTCATAAGCTTTTCCACAATCTTTTATCTACAGTATCTAAGTCAGACATTGACAGTGAAAAATCTCATTTACGTAGCCAGAGATAATGTAGCCAGACACAGACAGGTATGCTGTCATTTATATGGGAGGTGTGCCTACCCATGGCAGGGGGGGTTGGAACTAGACCATCTTAAGGTCCTTTCCAATCCAAACCATCCTATGTTTCCATATGTCACAGGTTCTGGTTATACTTCTCCTTGTACATCAATCCCAATTTTACTGTAGTCATGGCTTCCTATTCTCCTTGCTTTTCTTCTTTTTCTTTTTCTTTTTCTGTTTCTGTTTCTGTTTCTTTTTTCCTCTTTCTTTTCCATATTTTTTCCCCTCTTTCTCCTTCCCTTTCCCCTTGCCTTTTGTCATTTTCTTTTTGCTTTTTCCCCTTTGTCTTTTGTCTTTTGCCTTTTGCCTTTTACCTTTTGCCACCTTCTTCTCGAAGTTCTTGGACAATGATTAGAAACCCCAACTGGGCAACTCAGTTCTTCCCTCTCAATAAGCAAGACATTTTTTAATTATTCATGAATATAAACAGACAGGAACAGCCTCACGCTTGCAGGCCCTTGTTTTCATGAGGGATTTCAACCATACTGATATCTGTTGGAGGGACAGTACAGCTCAGCACAAGCAGCCCAGGAGGTTCCTCAATAGCATGGAAGACAACTTCCTTCTGCAAGTAATAGAGGAGCTGACAAGGAGAGGTGCCATGCTTGACCTCGTGCTCACCAACAGGGAAGGGCTCACTGGAAATGTTACGCTCCAGGGCAGCCTTGGTTGCAGTGATCATGAGATGGTTGAGTTTGATATCCTCAGGACAGTGAGAAGAGCGTGCATCAAGCTCACTGCCCTGGACTTCAAGAGAGCAGACTTTGGCCTCTTCAGGAACCTGCTTAGTAAGGTTCCATGGAATATAGCCCTAGAGGGCAGGGGAGCACAAGGCTGTTGGTTGGGATTCAAGGGTCACCTGCTACAAGCTCAGGAGTGTTGTGTCCTGACTAGACGTACGGGCAGCAGGAAGGCCAGGAGACCTCCTTGGATGGATAAGAAACTGCTGAGAAAGCTTAGAGGGAAAAAAGGAGGCTTATAAAAGGTGGAAGCAAGAACAGGTGGCCTGGGGAAAATACAGATATGTTGTCTGGGAAGCTAGGGACCAGGTTAGGAAAGCTAAGGCCCAGTTAGAATTAAACTTGGCTAGGAACGTGAAACATAACAGGAAGGGATTCTATAGGTTGAGAATAAAAGACAGACTAGGGACAATGCGGGCCCTCTTCGGGAGCTCTCAGGAGAACTAGCTACCCTGGATTTGGAGAAGGCTGAGGGTCTTAATGACTTCTTTGCCTCAGTCTTCACTGGCAAATGCTCTGACCACACCACCCCAGTCATGGAAGGCAGACACAGGGACTGTGAGAATAAAGACCTTAGGCCCACTGTAGGAAAGGATCTGGTTCGAGAACATCAAAAAGGACCTGAGCATACACAAGTCCATGGGACCTGATGAAATCCATCTGCAGATCCTGAAGGAGCTGGTGAATGAAGTTGCTAAGCCACTGTCCATCATATTTGAAAAATCATGGCAGTCACGTGAAGTTCATGACAACTGGAAAAAGGGAAATATAACCCCCATTTTCAAGAAGGGGAAAAATGGATGATCCAGGAAATTACAGACCAGTCAGTCTCACCTCTGTGCCTGGCAAAATCTTGGAGCAGATTCTCCTGGAAGGCATGCTAAGGCACATGGAAAACAACAAGGTGCTTGGTGACAGCCAGCATGGCTTCACTAAGGGGAAATCCTACCTGACCAATTTGGTGGCATTCTATGATGGGGCTACGGAACTGATGGACAGGTGTAGAGCAGTTGATATCATCTACCTGAACTTCTGCAAAGCACTCGACATTGTCCCTCATGATATCCTTGTCTCTAAATTGGAAAGACATGAATTTGATAGGTGGACCACTCGGTGGATAAAGAACTGGCACACAAACAGTTGTGGTCAATGGCTCAATGTCCAGCTGGAGATCAGTAACGAGTGGTGTCCCTCAGGGATCGGTGTTGGGACTGGTCTTGTTCACCATCTTTGTTGGTGACATGGACAGTGGGATTGAGCACGCCCTCAGCAAGTTTGCCAATGACACCAAGCTGTTTAGTTCAGTTGATATGCTGGAGGGAAGGAATGCCATCCAGAGGGACCTTGACATGCTTGTGAGGTGGGCTGATGCCAACCTCATGAAGTTTAACCATGCCAAGTGCAAAGTCCTACAGCTGGGTCAGAGCAATCCCAGGCACAGCTACAGGTTGGGCAGAGAAGAGATTCAGAGCAGCCCTGTGGAAAAGGACTTGGGGGTGTTGGTTGATGAGAAAATGAAGATGAGCTGGCTTCAGTGTGCACTGGCAGCCCAGAAAGCTAACTGTATCCTGGGCTGCATCAAAAGCAGCATGACCAGCAGGTAGAAAGAAGTGATTCTGCCCCTCTACTCTGCTCTTGTGAGATCTCATTTGGAGTATTGTGTGCAGTTCTGGTGTCCTCAACATAAAAAGGACATGGATCTGTTGGAACAAGTCCACAGGAGGGCTACAAGGATGATCAGGGGACTGAAGCACTTCCTGTATGAAGACAGGCTGAGAAAGTTGGGGCTGTTCAGCCTGGAGAAGAGAAGGCTGTGTGGAGACCTCATAGCAGCCTTCCAGTATCTGAAGGGGGCCCACAGGGATGCTGGGGATGGACTCTTCATTAGGGGCTGTAGTGACAGGACAAGGGGTAACATGTTCAAACTTAAATAGGAGAAGTTTAGGTTAGATATAAGGAGGAAGTTCTTTCCTGTGAGGGTGGTGAGGCACTGGAATGGGTTGCCCAGGGAAGTTGTGAATGCTCCATCCAAGGTGGTGTTCAAGGCCAGGTTGGACAGAGCCTTGGGTGGCATGATTTAGTGTGAGGTGTCCCTGCCCATGTCAGGGGATTGGAACTAGATGATCTTAAGTTCCTTTCCAACCCTAAGTATTCCATGATTCTATGAAGATATATGCAAGTACAACATGAAGAAAATAAAATCTATATTTGTCAGTTATTACAACAGATGGGCAATTGTTGACAGATTTGTATCTCAGCATCACTCTGTTGCTAAAAACTTAAAGAGAGAATTACCTCAGTGCAGTGTAATGACAGACTAAATTAAACTTGCCATTCATGCTCCACCTGCCTGGCCTGCACAGCAGATTGAACTGGTTTTTACTTATCCAGTTTTATTTTTGTCAAACTGTGGATGAAAAGGAAAATAATAATTAAATCAGACCAAGACAGCATTTTCCTAAAGTACATCACATAACTCTTCATTACAACAAAGGCTGGCTTTAATTTTTATTTTTTTTTAATATCATCTAAAAGAGTTGCAGTGTAATTGCACACTAAAGGATATCCACATTTAAATACCGAATAGTGACTGACATCAGGAAACTCAAAACCTAAGCTACATAATTTTTGTTCATAATGCAGTGAGACAAAAAAAAAAGGCTGAAAACAATATTTAACTCTGCATTTCCTGTATTTTATTGATTTCACAAAAATTAATTAAAGCCTCTGTACATCGTGACAATATAAATAGGTTGTCTGTATGTCCCTATTTCCCTTGCAAATAAATAAAATCCTTATTAAGTTTCTTATAAGTATATTTTTGACCTCCTTCTACAGCTCTTTCTGCTACGTAGGGGTTTGGACCCCAACTGCAGTCTCCGAATAGTTGAAGAACAATATTTTCTTAGTCACAATAGCTTACAGTTTTGATTCTTTACATAATAAGCATATGGCCTTGAAGTTACAGTACTTGAAATTTAATCCTTGGCATCAGATTTTATTATAAATGTGACATTTGATACTTATATGAAATGTTAAATTATACACATTTGTCTTATATGACCACGAAGTTCTGGTGTGACCGCTCGTCCACCACTGGTTATCCTCCTATGTTGTAATTCAGAGTAACAAGACAATGAAGACATCTATGCGATGACTTACATATTTATTATTCAACCTTTCTCCTTTAACTGTAGGTCCTTCTGCTACATTCTGGTGCTAAAAGCTCTGTTACATAGTCCTAAATACGAAAATATCATTACTGAGAGACAGCTGACAAAAGCACAATCTTCAGTTTTTGTGTTTCTGCTTAGGTGCTATCTAAAACCAGATTGTGACTTTCCTGACTTTCTCATACACATATCTTTCTCACATTTTTCAGGTGTTTTGCAAAGTGGCTTGCATTCTATATGACTGAATTTTAAATTCTCACTCATAGCTGAAGAAACAGAAAAGCTCACCATTTATCTCCTATGAGAACTGATATTAGTTAAAATCAGCATATAGATCCTTGTGAAGAAGGATCAATGAAACAATTCTTTTTTTTCTAAGTTCCTTTACTTTCCAATACCTTCACCTTACTTCTAACATGTATAGAACATAATAGATTATTACAGACAACTCAGCACAAAGTATGACTAAGGGGTTTTCTGTTATATTAAATTCTCTCCTCTTGTGAGTAAAAAAACAAGACAACAAAGTTATTGGGTACCCTTAAACTTTCTGAGCTCTTGTCACTAGGTCCTCTGCTCACTGAACATTGACGATGCATTTTTCTTAGTTTTGATTTTTGCTATGAATGTACCTATAGGAGTTCTTCTTGACCTTCACATCCCTCAGGAGTTTCAATTCCAGCTGAGCTTTGGCTTTCCTATCATCCACCCCTGCATGTTCAGGCAATGTATTTATATTATTTCTGTGTAGTTCATCCCAATTCAACATTACTTTTACTTCCTATTTGAATTTGAGCTTAGTCAAGAGTTTCCTGTTCAGCCACAGTGGATTAGTTGCATACTTTCTTGACCTGCACAAGTATGAACTTATCTTGTACTTCTCTCATGGGTTGTTCTGGGAGATCAACCAGCTCTCCTGGTTTCCCTTGCCATCCAGGGGCAACACCATGAGATCATATAAAGAAGATCTCTGAAAAAGCTGAAGACTGATCTCGTGAAGTCCAGGGCTGCAATGCTCTTGTTGATGTTGGTCATCTCTCAGACCCTTTTAATTCTGCTGTATCATGGATGCTACAGCCCCATCATGCTGCAGTTCTCATTAACACGCTCACCACCAATCTGTTCTTTATTCATGGATTTGCATAAATACAACATAATCCTAAGGTGACTAGGCAGGAATGTATCAAAAAGAGATCTGAAGATGATCATTTAACAGTGTATTTTTGCTCCAGAACTCATGTTCTGGGATATACTGCTAGAAAACCATCCAGAAATTGTAAGAATTAATTATTTTACTTTAAGTGGCACTGTGCTCAGTTTTGGTTATCACCTCTTCAGAAAGCCACAAAGAAACTAAAGAGAACTCAAAGAAGCAACGATAGCACAGATCAGGACAGGGGACAAGAAGGAGCTGATAAATGTGCAGGAAAGCTCCTGTAGGCTGGCTATTTGGAAGAGTTTCCTGCAAGAACAGTAAAGCAAAATAATGGATTATATCACAGACTATAGAACTCTGTAGACTGTAGAACTCCTTTCTATTCATTTTATGCGATAAGGACCTCTTAATTTTGCTGGAATTTTTCAAGAGAGACCCTCCCATGCCAGCCTCAATTATTTAAGTCTTCTAATGTTAAAAGACTGTTACTAAAAAAAGAAATCTATTCCTGAAAATGGAGATTTTGTTTATTTTTCAGTTTCTTCTATGGGTTGTTTTTTTTGTTTGTTTGTTTGTTTGCTGGTTGGTTGGTTGGTTGTAGGTTTTTTTTTGTTGTTGTTTTGTTTGGTTGGTTGTTTTGTTTTGTTATTTTGATCCTAAAAAGCCACTTTAAACATTCTTGAATTGGAACTAGCAGAAAAAGCATGTCCTCCCTGCTCCATTGCGTGCCTCACTGATGGCATCACTTGAATAGCACTATAATCCAGCTCTGGGGTGCTAACGTGGTGACGGCATGACCCTATTCCCTTCCTTTCCTGTTACTCAGGGGCAGTAAGGAAAGAGAACTAGATATTCTTCAGAACTCAATATTCTCCACATTGTCCTGGAGAAGTATGTGTGGAAGGTTGTCTGTTTCCTTTTATCCTGACATGTCTCTGAAAATGCAGAAACATTCAGGCCTTCAAACAGCATTTGTTAGTCTGTTTGTTTACTTTAATATTACTAACTAAAGAGATTCCCTTCTAGAAATATTCAAGGGGTGAATATTTCTAGAAAATCTGGCAAAAAAAAGAAAAAGTCAAAATGTGCTAATGTTTAAATAAAAGACTTTTGGAAATTCTATTGTTTCAGGACATTTTCTTATCATTAATTTATCTTTTCAATTGGGCTACTTACTTTATCTGTCAATTAAACTCGTGCCAGCATACAGATGACTTTCCCACGTGTTGGATTGGGAGCTTGTTTGCTCTCTTTTGATTGCCTAGGTGCACGTTATCAGGATTGTTACCTAGCTAAACAGTGAACAGACATAAATCTCTTTCCCCTAATGTTACATGCACCACTTTGTCTCTGTATATGAATTGTATCAGGATGATACTGCTGATTCTGCATTTCCAAGTATACACTCCCTTTCCAACCAACCCTAGGAATATAAATGACAGTATGTTTGCTCTTTTCCTTCATGTAGTTTGGTCAGGAGCTCAAAAATAGCTAAACCTTGTTGATTCTAGCAGTGCTTCTAAACAACTTATTATTATTTTCTTGTTGTAGATTATAACACGAGTGAGCAAAAGCAAGCATGTAAGAAACATGAACTTTACGTGAGTTTCCGAGACTTAGGATGGCAGGTATGCTTATAAATATTGTTTCCTATTAACTCAAATTGGGACAATCTATTTTACAGTCCCCTGCTATTTACAATCTGGGTTTTTTTATGATAACTGGGATTTCTGTGATGAAAGACAGATTCTTTAAATGCATTTTGCAGTGAATTCCTATCACTATCTCTTTGCCCTTTTTAGCTGTTCTTCTTTCAAAGATTTTGTGTACATTAATGGCTTTATGATCTGGATTCATTCACATAAAGATACTCTGAACTATTATTTAAGATATTAATAGATCTGCAGTAAATAAAAGCAAAATCTGTACACTAAGCAATGGAACTTTTGAAATTTGCACTTGAATTTTCCTTGGTTCAGTTCTGTCTCCTGCAGGTCAGAGAAATTTCACTGGGCTAGAGTCTATAGGGAGCTAGAAATTGATTACTGTTCAGTGGTCTTTATAACACCACAGATAAGTTTACATAATTTCTGGGGAAAACTCATTCTGCCATACAGTAACAAAAAAAAAATAAAAAATAAAAAGGTAGCTGTAGTAAAAGGTCCTAAAGACAGAGGCAGGGCATATGAGAAAAGAAAATAGAGATCAATCTAGGGTTTTTTTCCAGAAAGCAAGGATCTCTCTATAAAGAAAGAACAGGAAGGCCATCAGCAACTTATAACCTAGACATATTGCATATGCAGGTAAGAACTCAGAGATGGCTGGCTGTGCATTTCATATTTCTCTGAATACTTTAAAGCAATTCTCCAGGAACAGAACAAGTGCACTGTCTCCTTAGTGACAGCTCATCTTTTCCATATCTAGCTCAGATTCTTATATGGTCTCGTTACTTTTCCTGGTATTTTGCAGTACATTTACCCTCACAGCAGCCTGAAGAAGTAGGCAGAGACTGTTTTCCCAAGACTGCAGAGCATAATCACCCTGTTCACACCCAAAGAGCAGGCTTGTGTTACTGACTTGGGCTACTGAACAAGTGAGGCATTCTCCCTCTGTAGAGCACAGATTTTTCTAGGTATCAAGTTTGTTAATTTTCTGAAACAGTAAATTCTGATATGCCCCAAGATATGCAAAGCTCTCAGATCAGTCTTTCAAGGTGGCCATAGAAAAAAGAAGAACTTGCCCCCACCCCAAAAGAAAAAAGACAACTTGAAGATTTCAAAGTTTCTGTTGATAAGTCAAAGCTAGACTGTACAATAGTTGATCAGTGAAACTCAGGGTGAAATGAGATAAAAATCAAAAGAAACAACCCAAGAAGTAGGTACTTGATCCTCTCTGTCCTTCCCACAGCACCTACATTAGCTTTTCCTAGTAAAGGAGGAATTCAGCAAACTGAACACATAGCTTTCATCAGCATTTTAAAATATTTTCCCATGCTGTGTTGCTAGAAATACTCAAAATGCATGATTCAGTGACATTCTAATGAGTAATTTCTAACAACCCTTAGTCCCATGCAATAGAATAGTTAATGGCATTCAGCATGCTGAAGAAAAAAGACGCACTGTAATTACTTTTCTTGCATCAAGAAGTGCTTAAGATTTTTAGTCTGGGAAGAAAAGTGTTCTAACAAACATATTTGGACCTTTAATTTCCCTTATAGCTTCATTAGCTGGTACTCAATACAGGTTTCTAACTTCAATTTAATTTTCATCTGATTTTTGCATGAACAAAGAAAATACTTCTCTCCCCTTTTTGAAAAATGTAAGTTCACATGCCACAGTCCAAAGTTCATTTTGTCCTTGGGTAAGTCTGAGCTAGTTTTGATACAGAGTCTTGGGTGACATGGTTTAGTGCATGGTGTCCCTGCCCATGGCAGGGGGTTGGAACTAGATGATCTTAAGGTCCTTTCCAACCCTATTCCATGATTCTATATAGTTTTAAATCTCTGAGAGAAAAAAAAAAAAAAAAAAGGAAGAAAAAAAAAAGAGTGTGTTTATTTGTTTTTATTTTAGGATTGGATTATTGCACCAGAGGGTTATGCTGCATTTTACTGCGATGGAGAGTGCTCTTTCCCCCTCAATGCTCACATGAATGCAACAAACCACGCCATTGTTCAGACTCTGGTATGCTTCTGCCTATGTTGTAGTTGCCTATTGTGCAATTTTAAGTGTCTTGGCACAGGGGCTGTCTCTTCCTTTCTGTTTACTACTATTGGATTTTGATTATTTCTGGATAAATGATAACCCATTTCAGAGATGTGCTATGATGATTATGCTGGAGAGAAGACAAACTCTGGGAGAATGGCCTGTGTGGTAGGTTTCCCCTCCATTTCAAATGTAATAAGACATGAGAAGAAAGTGTCATATTACTGGAGAATTGTGTAGACATGAATCAAAGAGGCCCCCTAGTCCCATTTCCAAGAGTTTACTGTAGTTTATTGAAGCACCATGTTAACATCTACATGTTATACCTTCCAGAAATGTTGACACTTGGCCACTATGTGGACCTCTATTGTCAGCTGTTGGCAGAGATACTCATGCTGTAACTTAATGTGAAGCTCTGTAAGCAGATGCATTTGCATGTAAGAAATTGTGTTCAGCCATGCCTGGCTAACAAATACAATTTATAAATAAGTGTGTCTGGATCTGTTGCTCTGCCCGGTACATATAAAAGGGGATTTGTAGCCAGCTTTCTGCCTCTGCTGGTTCTTAGGTTAGTCCTGTGCATCAACTGGAGCAGCCAAAAACATGATCTTACTTGAAGCAGCCCTTTAGGCCTCCTCTACCCCAGCAGCATTCAGGTACAGAAATCAAGACCTTTAGATTATGGCTGAATGTAGTTTTGTGAGTCTGATGTCTGGTCATGAATTTTCAGATGTGCCAGCTGAAGAAGTGACCCTGAACAGCATCAGTATTAGCAGAATGATTAAGAAGTAGAGGAATGAGAGGTACTACACAAAGAAGGAGTGGGAGTACAAAATCAGAACAGGAAAGGGTTGCCATCCTTAATTAGTTTCTGGAAAGGTCAAGACACTCAACTGTAATTAGAGAAACATGGGTTTAAGGCTCCTTCTGTTTTAAAATGATGATAGGAAAGTATTTTGACCATCAGACTGTGCTGATGATTCTGTCCCTGGATGTTGATCTTTTTCTTTTGATTTCAGCATAAAAAAATCTGGTCTGAAAAACCTTTCCTCCTTTAGAAATGGGTGCACCTACTACCCTCCACCCCCTAAAAAGAACTCCACACCAAAATAAACCCCAGAAACAAAGAAAGTTCAATCTCTTTCTGATAGAAAAAAGAAAAAATATCTGCTTGTGAAAATTGCCAGTTGTGTCTTCACAAGAGAGACATTTTTAAAATTTAAGCCGAGACCTTTTTCCTTTCCATTCACCTTTTCATTTATGCACCTTCTCCAAGTCCAGCCACCAATGCAACATTATTCCTGTATACCGGAATTTGAGTCAGCAAGATTTACAAAAAGAAGGGAAAATGTCAGAGGCTGGAAATAAATAGAAGTGTGGAAAGGGGTTCAGGTGAAAGGGAACAGCAAATTCCACTTGGCAAGGCATGTAACAATGAGGCTAGGAGACAAGAACAGCATATATGCAGTTCTGAACTGAAAAGAAATAAGGCAGTAAAGCAATAGCGTAGAACAATGCAAAAAATTGTCCAGAAAAGTTGCCAATATTAGTGAGATTCCCCACGTTAAGAGTTCTCTCCTGCAGTTATGGGCTGTTGAGTAAGAAGTGGCCCAGTGCTACTTTTTCTTGTGTCTACGCTTTCCAAAAATGGGTAATTTCCAATTGTTAAGAAATTCGTTCAGTTTGTCCTATTTTTTATATTGGATACTTAAATTTTCCCCCTTTTTATGGCCTTTTTGGAATTGTGTCTCCCTCTGTATGTACTGTACATGCATTCAGTTTTGCAGCCAAAAAATCATGAGGCTAATTAAATTTTAGCTGCACATAAATTAGATGAGATAACAGTAGTTGAATGCTTTCTGGTTTAAATTATACAAAATTCAGATTTACACAAGGTGTGCACATGGGGATGGCTTGGGAAACAATTATTCACACACCCCACCCTAATCCAAATGTAATCATCTCCCAGCCATACTGATTACACCATTCTAAAAAAGCCCACTCTTTGGTTTGGGAAGTGATTGTTCCTTGGTACCTTTCCAAACTTTACTGACTTTTTTTTCTTTTATAACAAGTATAAGAGAAATGTTGGGCCAGTACCTCTTTCTCCTTTTTCTGAGACTGAATTTAAGCAGAGAAACTATACAGATACATATAAATAGAAGGGAGACTGCATTTAATTGTATTAATGTTGACCTCCTAGTCATGTGAGCCAGTGGATCAGCAGGTTGACTTGCACTCAATTCCAGGCTCACTCTTGAAAAGGCTGTGAGCACTGCTCTTATGTGGGGCTAGCAGAGCCATGGGGCTTCCAGCTGGGGAGGCAGTGGCTGGTGGGTCATGGCAGGGCAAGCATCTGCCTAGGCAAGGCACAATCATTCTCTTCTCCAGTGCTTTGCTATTCATTTAGTAAACTGTTTTTAAATGTATGTCTAAACCGTTACTGAACTGCTACTTCAGGATTTATTATTGCTCATTTCAAAAGACCTTCTCATGGTAACAGTTATGTAAAAATTGTTTCCTGATAGACTATTCTCTGTTGTCTGGCAAGGTCTCTGGGCTTATATCACTGCAAGACAGATGGCTCTGACAGACTTACAGAGACTTAACATACAAACGAAACCTATTACTGCTGAAGTCTTCATCCATGCCTTAATAATCTCTTGCTTTCTCTATTACAACCCCCTTTTTTCTGGCCTCCCCAGTTTCCAAGTCTTCAGCATGTGTAGAATATTACATCCTACTTTCTTTCAAGTATGAAGAGCTTTATTTCCCCCTTTTTCAGATATTTCCACTAGATCTCATTTGTTCTGGGATGCTTTTCAAGATTGTTTTACTTCTTTTTAACCTTTAATTGATATATTTTAGCCTAGTGAACATAAGCTTCGCTGCTTCAGCCCTTTCCTTAAACCTTCTGTCCAGCTGGCATCCACCTTAAGGACTGAAACTGACTTGAGTTGAAGTAGAATTGGATCCACCAATATCTAGATAAGACCTTAAAATGCACTCATGCTCTCTGAAAAGCCACATTTTCCCCTTTCATAGGCTGAAAACAGTTTAATTATGAGCCTTTGCCTGCAGAGTCTCTGCTGTCTGCAACAGACTTTCCTCCAAGCTCAGACCCTGACACAGGAAAGCATTTTAGCATGTGCTGGGGTCCTGGTGGGACCTGGAACTTGAGCCTGTGCTTCATGTTAAGCACTGTCCTCAGCAGAGATGGTACTGACGGTATGTTCAAATGTTTTCCTGAGCAGCCGCCTAACTCCAACTCTTTCCTAAATTTCATCTGAAAACCAGCTTTCTGTCTTGGCCGCTATTTCACATTTATCTCTCCATCTGCTATTATTGTATAACTTTGCCCACGCAATTGAAATCAGCAATGTTCTGGAGGTAAGCTGTGCCTTAAAGTTGCTAACGAAGGAAAATCCATGACCACAACACACTCTGAAATGCAAAGACATATTTTGCACTGATGTTGTCCTTGTACCTCTCTGTTTGATATATGAGCTATGTATTTATCTGTCTTTCAGGTTCACTTGATGTTCCCTGATCATGTACCAAAGCCATGCTGTGCACCAACAAAACTGAATGCAATCTCCGTGCTCTACTTTGATGACAGTTCCAATGTTATTTTAAAAAAATACAGGAATATGGTGGTGCGTTCATGTGGCTGCCACTAGAATGAGAAATAATCTAAAGCAGAGGGGTTTATTCAGAATTGTAATAAAGTCAAGATATGAGCCTTGTGGATGAAAAGGCAGCCCTAAATTTATTCCATTTCATGTCATCTCTCATTTAAATGTACAGTATAATGTATATAGTAGCTTTTATTTATTTAAAAGTATATAGTTTCTTTTGTATGAGCAAAATTTCTGAACAATTTATTTTATGGGTCACCTCACTATGCACCTCCCTTCACAAACTAATTTTTCAGTTGACTGTACTGGAATCTGTTGCATTCCGTTTCAATAGTTTAAAGTAAAAACTTTGTATAGATTTTTTTTTTTTTTAAAGCTAGAAACTCCAAACTTCCGCAACTGCTTCATATTGTTGAAGGAACTAAGATACATTTGGTCATATTTTGCCAGTGAAAACTGTGGCGGGGTATTTATTTGGAAAAAGGCACACGAAGAAACCCCAGACTAAACAAAACTTCTTGGCTAAACATATTTTTTTTTTTTTTAGAAGTTCTGCTCCATTAGACAAAGTAAAATACTGAACAGTGCTTAAGTAATTAAATAGATAGAAAATAGAAGTGAAAAGATTGCACATAATTGTTATAACTGTTTTCTTTAACAAGATGACTGTAACTGGGGGAGTATGTTACTTCTTGGCTTGTGAACTGCAGAGTTTGCAAACTGCTCAAAGCTTCAGGAATTCTGTGGAGACAGTCTCAACTTCATCTATGACTTTCCAAGTTAACACTAAAAATTGAACTACAACATTCTTACCTCAGATCATATCAGCCTATTATATACTACACCATTCTGGCAAATACTTTCATAATAACAGCACAAGGTAAAAACAAGCAAACAAACAAACACATAAGACTTCCTATTATATACACAAGCTACTATATATACAAAATATACAGAAGACAAGGCATGGAAGGGCTTTACTTCATTTCAATCCACTTTTGGATGTGTTTTCTGACTATGCAAGAGAAGGTACAGGGGATGCAGCAGTTGTCACCTCTTTAATCAATGCCATTTTCAGGCAAAGATGAAAAACTGTTCAAAATGAGCTACTGGGTAATTTGCAGCCTTCTCTCTGACTCATCTGCTTTTCTTTCAGGTGGAGATTGGCTTAAGTAATGACACTTAAGATATCTTTATTTTTTATCATTATCTATTATAACTTTGATAATTCTTCAATCCATACAAATAATTTTTAAGCTCCCTAAATTTTTGGCTTCATATGAAATCCTGTGGTTGTGAATTGCACAACTAATTACAAATTATCATTTCCATCACCACTACCCATATGCTTATTTTTAATTAACCACATTTAATATCTTTGGACACAGCTTTGTTTTAGTGTTATGAAAATGAGAAAATAGAAACTCTGCTTTCTCTTATTACATGACTAATTAAAATATGGTTTTGTTATAAATTGCCTTGATTAAAAATGCTGCATTTAAAGAGTTCTCAGAGAGTTGTTAAAAATTAATAGGACATATAAATTTATTCTTAGTTTATTCATATAAACTCTGACTTCTCTGGTTATTTAAAGCATATTTCAGAAAACTCATATTATTACAGACTGATAATATCAGCATGTGCGTGTGACTGTGCATATGCATGTGAATGTGCAACTGCCTTTATTTGCAGAAACTAATTTATTTTATCTTGCTATTGAAGTAATACATGAATATCTTTTATGCATACACTCAGTTTTGAAAAAATAACAGTTGTGATTTCAGTCTTTGGAGCTCTTTTACCTCAACACAACAGTTTCATTTTCCACTTCCATTTCCATTTTATACTGACATTACCTAGATATCTACATTTAGTTGCAGTTCATGCACAAGGGTGTATAACAAAATACAGCGTCTTCAGCTGAATTACCATTTTGGAACCATTAAATTACTGGGTTGTCTTCAAAAAATTCCTGGTTTCTGTAAAAATTGGGTAGGTGGATATGCTTCTTGAACTCAGTTTATTCTAGATGGAATTTGATGGAGTACATTAAGTACATTTTGGGTACATTAAGTAATATATTTTTAAATAATGTTTTACCATTTTGAGAATAAGAAACTGAAGATTATTGTTATATTATTCTTTAAAATATGCTGTTGGAATATATTTCTATATTTTGAGACCTAATAAACCTGTAATATTATTTTGTTCTGCTGTGATTTTGCCTCTGAAACATGACAGAATGACACTGACATCATATATTCTTTTAAAAGTAGAAGAAAAAGACAACCAATAGCTGTGGATGGATTTTGTTACAGTTCACTTTTTTGTACAGCTATTTTGCAAACTTTTGTTACTTCTTAAACTGCAAGTGGTGAATCATCTACATTACTAATAAAAATCTTGTCTTCAAATGATACCTCCAAATGTTAATACTCTACTCCAAATATACTAGAAAGAAGAAATAATTTTTAAAAGTCTCCATAGATTCCTAACTGGTCATTTGTCTGTTTGAAAGGAAGCATAGTGGCACCACACACTCTGCATGCTCTGGATAAGTGTATATATATGTGTTTTCTTACAGACTTTTTCAGGTAATCTCTTCTCTAGTAGTACCTAACACAGTACTTCTTATTCTTTTACTGGCTTTTATTGAATACCTGTTATTTTATATATTTATGCATAATATATACACACAAATATGTAATAAAATGTGTATGTAATTATATTAAAGATATACCCATATCTTTAGCTATATATTACAGATATGAAGACCATTCCATTATCATTTAGGACACAACAGCTTTCTCTTTTTTTTTAAGTTAAGCTTTCTGCATCTTTAACAGCTGGAAAGAGTCTAAAGAGCTGAAAACCGGAAAAACAGAAGAAGCTGCATAAGGAATTAATGTTACTCTATGGGTCAGAGATTCTCAAGCTTCAACTTATTCATAACTTTAACCTCATTTTTGCACCTTCTGGGACCAAACTCACGTTTACAGGATTTTGCTAATAGCCGCTTCTTTGGCTTAGGAGTATTCACCCAGTGTAAGTCAGAGCTGAAAGATTAATAGTATAGCAGCAGTGATTTCATTTCCCTTTAGAAGCGCATTGTTCTCTGATTGTGATTTTGATGTCCAAGACAAGATGAGCTCTGACTGACTGAAGTGTGAAGCATTTATAAGTTAAGTTCTCTGATGTGCTAAGCTGTGATATATAACAGTCTTCCATCAGTTAGATCACTTGATGGGAATCTCTCCTTTATGGGGATGCCCATTTCCACAAAGTATTTATAGGGTCAAGTTTTTCAAGTTTAGGCCAAAGATTTCAAATTCATTAATTAGGAAGTAGGGTTGCGCGATGCTTGCTGATAGTCAAAACCATACTTATTTGGATTGTGTTAGCCCTTTTTTTTGATATAAGATTGAGCTAAAAATTGAATTCATATAAAGCTTTCTGGTAGCTGACAGGATAGTGATTCATCTGATCACCGCAAAACTGAGCTAGAGATATCTTGGGCAGACGTTGATGTGGATGTCTTCAAGCAAAAACAGGATGATCATTCCTTGACTGGCTGTGTATCTGTCTTGAAGGGCTGTCCTGGCTGACATATCCTTTACAACTCCAGGACTCCTCCTTCTGCAGTGTCCTGTTTAGGCTTTTAAGCAAATGTGCATTTGTGTTGAGTGAATAGGTAGGTAATAGGGAGCTATATGAGGAGCTCAGGTATTTTCAGAATAGGAAATCAGAAGAAACCAGTTCTTTATAGCTGCACAGGAGAAAGAATATGTTTGTTTTGCATACTGACACCTGTAGGACTATAGAACAGTATTTAGTCATTGTATTACGAGTCAATTGGTAGACAATTTAGTCCCTTATTTTAATAAATGGTACATACATGAGTGCTATGACTTACATCTATACTGTATTCTCCCAAACAGACTTTTTTAGCAGTAACACAGAAATTGCTCTTTTGGATTGCAACTCATCTGTTTCTCTCCAAAGGCTACAAAGTATATATTTTAAGACAATGGATGTGCTATAAACGTTGTCTGGTTGACTTGTCTGGTCTGTAGTCAGTGACAATCCCTGACACCTTTAAAATGTTACGTTGTTGAAAAGGTTTTACTGGGATGTTTAATTGGGATGTGAAGCTTTGAGAAATCTTTTGTTATCATGATGGGATGTCAGACACTCAGATTGCTGACTGTGTATTTCTTCTGGCTTCTTTTTTTTTATTTTTTTTTTTTTTTTTTTTATTTTGTGAACACCTCTTCTGAAACAGTTTCACGGTTAAATTGACTTCACTCAAAGATGGTTAAAACAATGGTTTAGGCATGACATTCTGGATTGTTCCAATAATAACCAAAGGATTCTAATAACCAGGATTTTAAAATTATATGCTTTACAATCTCCACCAATTTTTTTGCTCACACATTCAGCTACGCATGAGGGGAATCTGACATGTGGTGCCTGAATGACGAAACAGCCACATGTGTATTATGCAGTATTATCTTTTACTATCTCCTCTGCAGTCACAGAACTTGCTAACTGTGATTTACAATGTGTTACTGAGTTCTTACTCACATGGCTTGAGCAAGAGCTTGATTAAAAACAAAACTAAAGTAAAAATCCAACTAAAAGCAGTGAGAGGAGGTTTTCTTGCTGTCTTAATTCAAATAAATCAACACCAAACATGGAACATGGGGGATCAGGAATCTCCTGTGAATTAAATGGGCCTTTTGTATTCTGTTTTCCATATTTACAGCACATGACACAGATTTTTCTCCTGTCTGCTATGTTTTCAGCTAAATACTTTCTGTTCTGTTCCTGCACATTTTGCTTTTGATAGGTGCAATCTAATATTATTATTATTGGTTTTGTTGTTGTTGCAGTTGTTGCAATTGTTATTGCAGTTGTTGCTATTCTTGGTGTCGTTAAGGTTCTTTATTGTTATTATTACAGATATTTTCATTACTTTGGAACATTTTAATGCTTTAAAAAAATATGTGTTATTCATGTTGCTATTTTGCGGAAAAGTGGAGAGACTTGACTAAGAGAAGAACAGGTGAGAGGTAGGATAGATCTCCAGTGTCCCAGTACTCTAATCCCTATTCCTCACTCTGGAGCAATGCAAACACTTGATACGCCTATCCTTGCAGCTCATAACTTTAATGGATGATATGCAATCTCAGGGGTTACCTGGACCTATAGTTTGGATTTATCAAGTACTTTTCTAGTTTCATGATTTTTTGCGGAAATCTGGGCAGTGACAAAACTGAGGCATGTGCACGGTTCAGGCTGCACCTTTCCTATGCGGGGGAGGTTATATTTTAAAGCTGCTTCTAGGGCAACAACCAAGATCTTCTTGAAGCAGATTTTTGACCACCTTTTCATCAGCATTGTAAATCTGTATCCTGCT